CAAAAATAATGCAAGAGAAGGGTTGAATGGTGGGAAGAAACTTCTCACCTGTACTTTTGTCTGGCTCTGCTGTGGATTCATACAAACTAAATACGTAAGACATAGCTGCATTGGCCGGTACATTGGAAAACAGAAGCAGCATGCGATGAGGAATGGAAGGGAAAAAACACTCAAACATGGCCTGCCTTTATATAGTTGTACCTAATAGTTGATTTTGTCATCTTGTTCCCCATGCCTTCCGTGTTTAAAACTCCCCAGTTATTTTTCAGAACCATATTTCCATTGTACGTTCCGTGGACGAGCTGAAAAAGAAGATACCTGTTGGGTCTAAAATACCTTGCCCCCTCTGCCCCACCAAAAAGTTCAAACCTACCTATACCAACAGGGTGAAGAGACATCTGAACAGCCACATAGCAACGGGCGTGGCTTATGATGGTATGTATTATTCAAACTAATTTTTCAGAAAATGGTTGTATACAAATAATAATATTCTGCTCTTCGCGGCAAAATGCTAATGCCAGACGAAAAGGAAAATTTAATGCAAACCAACCTATGCAAACAAATTATTTTTTGTTAAGTGGTAATTACTAGAGAATCACCAGTTTCAGTGGCAAAGAAAGTTGAAATTACGGGAAAATAGTCAAGCACGAGAAATAAGCCATTATTACGATTTTCCATTTTCACATGACATATAAATACTTTTGAACTAAACAAATCTGTTTTTACTAAGTATTATAGTGCTTTGAGCAGTAAGACCATCTTATCACAAGCGCTCGCGCGAACACACACACACACACAAAGAGAGAACGCCCTTTGCGATGAGACGTTTACGTATAAAATATCCCCAGTGCTGCTTTCCAAATGAATCTTGCAGGTTACATTTCTTTGGTGTGTCATTTGGTCTGCCCCCCGCCCTCGTCCCCCGTACACGGCCACTACCACTGTCCCAAGTGCGGAAGGAAGCTGGCCAGAAAAATAGGCTTCATTAATCACCTGGTACTAAAGCACGGCAGAGGGGGAAGAAACAGCCCCGTGGCAACGCCATCTCTAGATGATAATTCTACAGTGCCTTCGACAACGGGTAACAGGGGGTCGCCCCCAGCAGCATCTGTAGAGTCAACGTCTACGACAACCAGAGAGACATCGCCAACTGCTGACACGGGACCAGCGCCAGCGACCTCTACAACACCGCAAGAAGCACCCGTCAGAGGGCCGCCTGAAACATCCGCCACAGGGACGCCAGTGGCGCCGGAAATAACGCCAGCAGAGCCAACGCCAAAAAGCCACTGATAACACTGGCGGTTGAAAAAGAAGAAGACTAAATTCATCGCTTTGCATTGCATGGAATTGGATATACGTTATTTTGTTGAAATTTATCTGACGAGCATTTTTGAATCGCCAGGCAGTTGCGCAATAACATGAGCTTTTATAAGACACAAAATTGGGGCTGAGGAGCGATTAAAAAGAAAAACGCTTTTTTTGTGCAAATAAACCGCGCGTCAGAATATTTGTAAAAGAAAGCCGCTCGCCTCTTTTGGTGTGCACACGTATTTACACTTTTATACTTAATTTCATCAACATGCGTTTCTACACCATTTTGGTACATGTAAGCCTGTAGACTCTGTGAATATTTGAAAATTTGCTTTAATTTTTTATTTTATTTATTTACATATTTTGCTCATGGTGCTCTGTCCAAATATTGCACCCAGTTTTCTGTGAAAAGAAATTGATATACGGTCTACCTTCGATACAAACGTACGCCTACCGTACATAGACGTGCCTGTCTTTGATGCTAGTGAAAGTATTGTTAGTGTTGAAACCAAGGCAAAATGTTATAAAGAAGTTAACTGTAAATCATAAAGAACAGTGGACACTTGCTTACCGGTGTAACGTGATAGAGAGTCCCCCATGACAGAAAGTTCGCTTCCCATTCATTTGTACAGGTAAACCTCGCCCTGACCCCCTTAGGTCAGGCTAACCCTAACCATTATAACTAAATGGAGGGTGGACTTTCTGTTACACGAACCTTCAGTTTCATTACACCGTCCATGAGGCGCATCCATTTTTGTCGTTAAAATCTCTTTTTATTGTACTTCCACTTTACATTGTAGTGCTCGCGTGCTAGCCGACTATCACACGCGGACTAGTCTTAACAATGAACACCAAAAATAGATCTTAAGACACAACTGGGGCTAGTTGTCAGCAAGAACACACCTGTATACATCAAGATTGTGACCTCAATAGAAGCCCTTGTCAGGACAACCAGGAAACGCCAATTATAATGACGTGGCAAACGGCTATTGGCCATAAGCGGTATCGTGCTGGACATCGTAATATCATTTTACCACTACTTTTAAGAGATGGTACCAATGTCCATACACCGCACCCTGTACCTACAAGTTACCATCCCCTCGAACTAATTTTGTTAATTTGTATCCCAGACTTGTGAATTTTGTATGTGTATAAATGTTACTTCTCACTGAAGCTTTTTGAGAAAGGTTAGCTGTAAATTGCTTATTATTATTTAGTTGACTAAAAAAGTAACATGTGAAATAAATTGAAAATATATCAAACGTAATATGGTGTTTTATGTGAAAATATTGTTTATGTTTGTATACTTGTAGTGTACCACTTACAAATCATACGTCATAGATGTCTAAGTCAATTTTGCCACTAAGCAATGGGCGCCCGTATCACACGTTGCAAAAGTCATATTTTAAATGTTGCTATTTTGGTTTGAATCAACATATTATGTATATTGCATGTATATTATGTAGTTTTGTTATAATAAATTTTATTATGTGACCATTTTCAAGAGTATTTAAATGATATCGTGGGCTGAAAAAAAATACAGAGTAAAGGACATCTCGGGCCACTTCCGACAGAGAAACGAGTTCGTACACGCCAAAGTGATGTTATTTTACATGGACCTCACTTATCATAATTTCACAATCTTTCCCTGCAATCCAATGGCAATCGCATCGCCTACATGTGCAACACGTCACAAAATATTATAAACGGGGATATATCATTTCGTCAAAGAATGAATAATGATATCCCGCCTTCCCACGCTTTATCTTACAGCGATCTTACTTATACGAATAATTCAAATTTCAAATATGGAGAATGCTATTTGTTGATGCTGTGTGATGCTTTCCGACTGTAATATCAATATCTCAACCCTCCTCTAATCTGTTGTTGTTGTTATTGTAGTTGTTGCTGTTGTTTGAACTTTAAATAGCGAATACCATATTTCGGACAGCCAAATAATGGCTTTTTGCCCCCCGTTGCCTCCGGTCAGTGACCCAGGTCATTTTCTATTCAGTTTGGCCTCATGTTTTTTATTGTCCCTACTATTAGAGATTTATAAAAGTCCATGGTAATAATAAATATGATGATAATACACTGTCAGATTTTGATTTTGCTGTTTGTGTATATAGGTGGTCTATGGGGGTTGGGAGAGGGCAGGATGAAAATATTTGTCTTACCTCGCTCCGCACACTTAAAAAAACCCCGCAGACTACGGCAAACATGACATCTAGGTTACGGGGATGAAAAAGCTACCTGGTTTTGACGCTTCGCTCCTTACACTTTATTTTTAGGGGGTGGGGGAGAAGGGGAGCATAGTTGTACCCCAGAAACAGAGGGAATCACATGGTTCCTGTCCTCCTCGGATTTGTGGTAATACAAAGTATATCTAAGACACCAAATGTTAGAATCTATTTTTGTCTCTGTCCGGGAATTTTGCACTCGGCGTTCATCTGTTTGTGACGTCATGGCTGCTGACGGCGAGGGGACAGGTCGTACGACAGGTTAATGGTACTAATAATAGGTCTACGGTTACGGTGAGATGATTCCAGTTATATTCGGAAAAGTAATAATAACTTCCGTGGGCCGAAAAACAAGTCCCGGATTTGCCGGGTTGATGAGGAAATGGCACGGCAGCGCGAGGAGTATAAATATGGGCCAAGAACCCGAAATAGGCATATAAACCTTCGACAGAGTACAGAAGAAGAACAGAACTTGAAGATATTGAAAGACTGACAGATACCAAAAATGAAATTGTTTTTAGCTGCATTGGTCTGTTTTAGCGCTTTGGTTCAAATTCAGGGTAAGTTTTCTTATATTTTAGCTTCTTTGGGTTACAATTATTTAGAGCTCTGACATTTAAGAAACGGAATGAATTTTTCATTAAATTAATTTTTTTGTAAAGAGTACTGATCAAAATTCTACTAACAGTTTATAAACTTAGATTAAGCTTCCTTTAATTATGATTTTAAAAATCTGTATTCACTCAGACAACTGAACTACGGTTCCGATATTTATAGATGGTGAATTCTCAAAAAAGATGTCGTTAACTATGGGCTCATAAATATGTACAATTTCTAATTATTCTTCTTTCGTATATATATAAAGTGCTGACAAATTTGAATTAGGCAACCGGGAATGTTATGATTCTTATTTTTTATTTTCAACTGTGGGCTCAAAAAATCATGTTTTCATCGCCGTTGGAAAAAAAATCTCTGTGGGACTTTAAAAAGATTTACTACGGTAACTGGGAGTCACGTGCCCCTCCCTAAACGTCTGAGACGCACACTTCTATTTTCAAAATGAACCGGTATAAGGAACGAAACGACACGAAAACCAGCCATTTTTCATTCATGTTTCAATGCTTAAATTTTGGTTCTATGATAAATTTTCCGTCCGCTGTTTTATATTTGCCGAGCCAAGCGAAACAAAGTAAATTTTTTTACCCTTTTCCCCAGGAGCAAAATATAGGAACCGCCATTGTTGGTCTGTCATCTTTTCAATACAACAATGGTGCTCGGTATATTACCCGATGCAAACGAACTAGCCTGTTATTATTATTTTTGCTTCTATTTCTTTTAATTCCAGCCTTCAGATGGTCTGCATGGTTTGACAGAGACAACCCTTCTGGATCTGGAGACTGGGAAACTTTAGCTGACCAAAATGTAAATATTTAGCTTAATTAAGATATTATAATAAATATAACCTTTTTCTTAGATAATCTCAGCAGGTTTATATCATTCAAATTTTGAGCTTATTTCTATTAAAATATTACTGTATTATTATTATTTTATTTATTTATTTATTTATTATTTATTTATTATTTATTTATTTTTTTTTGCATAGGTTCATTGTGGCACATTGTTAATCAAGACTATTTTTTCGTTTCAGAAAATAAGAGCCGTCTGTCCCCTTAGTTCTCCTATCGCAGCCGAGTGTCGCGTCAGAGGCAGTGGCGCCATCTTTACCATGACAAGCGGATCACCACCAAACGTGCTGGCTCACAGATGTTCACCATCAGTGGGACTTGTCTGTAAAAACTCCGACCAGGCTGGTTCCATGTGTAGTGACTACGAGATCCGATACCTTTGCCCCAGTCCTTGTAAGTTTTGGAAGGTTACACTTTATCAAAAGTGATTAGATTTCAAAAAAGAAAAATAATATTGTGCTTTATTGGTGCTTTTGTTGTCACCATGCTCGTATGAACGATTAAAAAACATATATGGGCTGTTTCTTTTTACAGCAATGTGCTTTACCGTTTTCTTTTTCTAATATAATACATTTTAAAAAATATAAAGCGACAAAACTTACAACTCATTTTGTTCAATAATTCAAAAGATTTTATATCAATTTAAAAACGAATAAAGAAGTATTTTTAATTTTTAGTGTCCGTATGGAGTAGGTGGTTTGATCGTGACGACGCCTCCGGAACTGGGGACTGGGAAAACTTGTCTGAGCAATTGGTAAGATAGAAATAATTTGTAGGCTACATTTCTCAACGAAAGTTAATAAATAGTAATGGTTCCACAGACTTATATATTAAAATACGAATCCGAAAATTATGTAAACAAATTAAATGAAAAAAATGTAAAAATTTGCAGTGATCTTACGCCGTCGCCTATAATGCAAGGTATCTTAAAACATTTCATTTTTTATTTTATAAATCCTTCAATCTTTTTATATAAAAGGCACGTCATATCTTCAAAATTCAACCAAAAGCAAAGTTCATTGTTCAACTTTATAACAATCATCATTGCAGAAACTGGGCGCAGTCTGCCCCTTTGGAGCAAAACCCCTTGGGGCCGAATGCCGTGAGAGGGGCACCAACAACGTTTTCACCGAGTTTTCCGGAAATCCACCCGACAAACTGCGCATGCGTTGTACCAGTGCAGGATTGATCTGCAGAAATTCTGACCAACCAGGTGGAAGGATGTGCAGAGATTACGAGATCCGCTACTCTTGCCCCGCCAGGAGCGCCGGACCTAGACCGGTCGGACCTATAGGAGGCGGTCCTAATCATGCTTTTGGTCCCGTACCTATCTAAACGACCAGAAAACCTAAAATTTACGTTATTGAATGACCGTATTTTTGGAAAACCAGGTTTAAATGTTTTGTGAATGTTGCAGTCGTTTTGTTTTGATAGATTTTGCATATACTTTTTAATGATTAATTAGGAATTAGAAGTTCTGTACTCCTTCTGTTGACTCTCTTTATGAAAACAGAGCATACTGAGTGAGAATTGTTTTTCATCACAAGTAGTAGCAAACAATGGAAGTTTGCTTTTTTAATTTTGAAATTTAACTGAGACAGTTCATTTGTCCAAAGTTCAAAATGGCACCAAATGATTGTTCCCAAAGAGTAATTTTGTCTGCGATTATACGCCATGTTTGTTTATTTAGACTCAGAACCAATAAAGAGGTTAGAAAACAATTAGTGAACATTGTTGAGTTTTAACTGAATGGCGGTAGTAAAACAGAGTCCCGTAAATTAGCCATTATATAACGAGTAACTCAAGGCAATGAAAAATATAAATTTGCACCGCCCCTTCATGGCAAAACCCTTACCAATGGGAGACGTGGCTTAGTCGTCAGCATGTGCCGGTTGAAAAACTCCTCAAAACATAAATTTTTCAGTGTAGACTCAAAAATATTATTTCATCCAATGATAGATACACACACTGGACAATAGAAGTGTCACCCCTACGGAACCAATACTTTGGGGGAGATAAATGACTGTGGAATGATATGCTCCTGGTATCATTTTATTCACATCAAATTTCACAAAAAGACCAACAATACAATTCCATGATGGAGCAGTTTTATACTCATTAGTCCCATTATATGTAGACCAGGCATTATGTGTGAGATAATACACTGTCACCCGAGCGATATATGCCATAACACCTCGAGCGTCATGGCATATCGCTAAAAATACAGTCATTTCATCCTTAAACACCCCTAAAACCTTGGACATAATATCGTTATTATGTCCAAGAAGCAAATGACACTTTTTAGCTACAAGTATCTTATTCTCAAAAATATTTCATTTTCTTTATTTCAAAGCAGCTCCATTAGAGGAAAGAGCAGTTAAAGGTAATGAGGGGTTTCAAGTGAGTTTAAAGAAAGTGACAGTTGCAAGCATTTTTCGTACTCGCGAATCATTTATCTATTCCTCTCTGTACTGAAATTCGACCTTTAATTACATTTATAAAATTTATTTAGTTTTAAAGGACTGCCAGTCATTAGAATCAGCGACCATCTCCCTGTATGCTCCTTTATAGATATCAACATCAAGTACGCTCCAGAAAAAAATTAGTTAAGGAGTTACATCGGTTTTAAGATGTAGGCCTATGCAAGGTTTTATAAGAAGCTGTGGAATACAAAATATGGATATGGGGCATTTTCGAATATGAAGTGTACCTTGAATCTTAAATTGTTCCAATACAAAAGTATGAAGATTATGGTATTTAAGTGGGAGTTGAAGATAAGGGGTTACATGTACAATCCAGAGCAGGTAATTGAAGATGGACAGGCTTATGGAAATATCGCATAAAGATAGGGGTACCTGATCATAAGTTACAATGGGTAGACTGGGTA